GAAGCTGGCACTGGGCTCCAGGAGGAGGCGCTCTCGCGGGTCCGGCCGGGGCTCTTCTGCTGCTAGTTGGAAAATGCCTCCCCCCTCCCTTTCTCTCCCCCCCCCATCTTCAGCTCACCTCACATTCTTCACCGACAAAGCAGCCGGGACTCCAGCACGCCTTCCCGGCGAACTGGGCCAATGGTCCTGTGGCTGGGGATCACAGGGGCTGCTCTCCCTCGGGGCCGCGGCTTGCGGGAAGGCTGGCCCGCTCGGCTGAGGCTCTGGTGGGCTGCTCCCATTGGGGATCCCGGGGCTTTCCCGTGCGGTTTCCTGGCCACTTGTACCTAGGATGGGGCCAGCCAGGGAAAGGGACTTCCTGGCCGCGCTTCTCCCAGGGGGCAGGACAACTGGGCACAGGGCCAATCAGGAGCCCTGCGAGGGGGCAAATCCGCATGAGAGAGAGAGAGAGAAAGAGAGAGAGAGAGAGAGAGAGAGAGAGAGAGAGAGAGAGAGAGAGAGAGAGAGAGAGAGAGACACAAGTGCCTCTCTGTGTCTCTGTCTGTCTCTACAAATGGCGGAGGAGGCTGGGAGCCGCAGGGGAAGGCTCCAAAGTGTCCCCAAAGCCTCTTGCTCCATCGCCCCCCATATCGCCCCCTTTTTGTTCCTCGCCCCTTTTCGTTCCATTGCCCTCCTGAAAAATGAAATCGCCCCCTGGTGGGCGATATCGTCCAGGTTAAGAACCACTGGACTAGAAGACCTCCAAGGTCCCTTCCAACCGTGTTGTTCTGTTGATTGGTTTCCTCAACCCAAACCTTCCACCCTGCAATGTCTTCTTATAGTTGCAATTTGTCTCCACAAACCACAAAGCTGGGGAATGATTACAGGCACAGAAAGGGTCATGTTCTACAGCCCCAAGTGCTCCCTTGCTGATCAGAGTGAAATTTAAACCAGCATCCAATCACTCTATTCCAGTGGTTCTCAACCTGTGGGTTGAACGACCATTTCACGGGGGTCGCCAAACAACGCAGTCCGCCATTTCCCCCAGTTGAGTAGTCCTCGGCTTACGACCGGTTGAGTAGTCCTCGACTTACGACTGGTTGGGGGTCGCGGCATTAAAAAGGTTGAGAACCACTGCTGTATTCCATAAGTACCACCACCCCCCCCCCACACACAAAGAGACTGTTTGTTGGGAAGGTGGGGGCCCAGACTGTCAGCATGAAAATGAATGACACATCCTTTTGATTTTTGCCAGACTTTAATCTTTCGCCCAGCTGTTTCAAGCATCTGGCAAGGATGCTCAGAGCAGAATCTCTAAAGAGGATGACACATGATCCAGAACTACTGTGTGGTATTACTTCCAAGGGCTACTTGTAGAAAATGGGGGCTGGGCTAGGAGTTGGGAATCTACAATCACCCCCACCCACCTGCAGCCTCTCTCGCATCTATCTACACACACATCTAGTTTCCAGACTGAGTTGGCTTACAGCAACCAGGAGCAAAAGTGTAGAGAATGCTAAGTTTTATTTATTGACGCATTAAGCATCCTGCCTGTTTGTGGGATCAAATTACAAACCTTTGAATTTTGCAAATATATTTCCTATGATTACTCCTAACATCTTTCTTTCTTTCTTTCTTTCTTTCTTTCTTTCTTTCTTTCTTTCTTTCTTTCTTTCTTTCTTTCTTTCTTCTTTCTTTCTTTCTTTCTCTTTCTTTCTTTCTTTCTTTCCTTCCTTCCTTCCTTCCTTCCTTTTCCTTTCTTTTTCTTTCTTTCTCTCTCCCTCTCTCTCTCTCGCAAATACATACACACTTAATTCTTTCTCTCATTTGTTTTTCTCTCTCCCACACACAAACACACACATGCACAGATGCTCGTTCACCTCTTTTATCATTCCAGCAAGTAGAAGAAACAAGAACAAGATTCCGGTTGAACATTAGGGAAAACTTCCTAGTGGGAAGAGCAGTTTTGACAGAGGGAGGCTCATTCACTGGAGGAAGTTAAGAAGAAGATGGGCAGACATTGATCTGGAATTCTTTAATTCAGATTCCTGTACTGAATGGGGAGTTTCGTGACCTCAACATCCCTTTTCTAATTCTCCCTTTCCTCTTGGTCTCCCAACCAGCTCTGATTGAATATTATCTTCTTTCTGTAAAATCACCTTCCATGCTTTGTTCTTGTTTGATATCCTCTTTTCAGTGATCTGGGCTAGATGTGTGGATTCAGGAGATGTGCAGTTCCCATTTGGGGTGAACTTCTCTGGGAGACCCCTGGACACATCCCCAATATTAGAGACTCAAAATAAATTAGGACTTCTGAATGGCCTGCCCCTCTGTATAGATTCCTCTCTATTTTAGTAGGTGCCCGTGATTGCATGACCTTGACTGGATTGGAAAGCTGAAAAGGGTCAGGGTGACTAGCCGTTCGTCGGAGGGAGGCAACCAGGAGATCTCAGAGCTGTAGATTAGACCAGGCTTCTGCAAACTTGGCAACTTTAAGACTTGTGGACTTCGATTCCCAGAATGCATGGCTGGGGAATTCTGGGAGTTGAAGTCCGTAAGTTTTAAAGTTGCCAAGGTTGGAAGTTGGAGACCCCCCTGGCTTAGACTGAGACTCAGAAATCTTCCACCTGTGGAAGGGTTAATTGTTATTCTGGTCTGTTGCCAAGAAAACCATCTGGAGCTGTCTTTAAACTGTTGTTGTTGTTAATTGCAAAGTCGTGTCTGACCCATCGCGACCCCATGGACAACGTTCCTCCAGGTCTTCCTGGAGTCCATTTAAGTTCATACCTACTGCTTCAGTGACTCCATCCAGCCATCTCATTCTCTGTCGTCCCATTCTTCTATTGCCCTCAATCTTTCCCAGCATTAGGCCCTTCTCCAGTGAGTCCTTCCTTCTCATTAGGTGGCAAAGTATTTGAGTTTCAACTTCAGGATCTGGCCTTCTAAAGAGCAGTTGGGGTTGATCTCTTCTAGGACTGACCGGTTTGAACGCCTTGCAGTCCAAGGGACTCGCAGGAGTCTTCTCCAGCACCATAGTTCAAAGGCCTCAATTCTTTTGCGCTCAGCCTTTCTTATGGTCCAGCTTTCACAGCCATACATTGCAACTGGGAAAACCATGGCCTTGACTATATGCATTTTTGTTGGCAGGGTGATGTCTCTGCTTTTTAGTATGCTGTCTAGATTTGCCATAGCTTTCCTCCCCAGGAGCAAGCGTCTTTTAATTTCTTGGCTGCAGTCCCCATCTGAGGTGATCTTGGAGCCCAGAAAAATAAAATCTGTCACTATCTCCATTTACTTTCGTGTTCATAGCAAACCTTAAATTGTCAGAATGAGGCCACCTTTATCATTAGCCACAAACAAATCATTTTCGGCACATTCTTCTGGTAATAATTGACAGACCAACAAATGGACCAAGCTCTGCACCTCCCCACATTCACACAACATGTTGTTATCTGCCAGCAACGCCAATTTGAGCATATTGGTCTTACACGTAGCATGCATTCCCATCCTCAACCTTGTCAATTTCCATCCAAGTGACACAGGGGAGATGAGATTCCTCAGCCACGTTCTTTTTTGGAATTATTCCTTGTTCTGTAAATTCTCTCCTCCACCTTCTAATTCAGTTTTGCTCCTGCGTGCCTTCAAGAATATTCAAGAACTCAGATCATCCTGAAAAATTCTTTTGGGTTTGCTAAGCACTTGGATAGGAGACTAAGAGGAAATACCAGGAGTGGGAAACCCATCTAGGAATGAGGTGATAACCAACTATTTTTATATTGCTGCTATGCAGAGAGGTCCATATACTTGGCAGAAGGCAACACCTAACCAACCTTGAGGAACAGCTTATCCCCAGAAGTCGTGGGTACTCCATCACTGGAGATTTTTAAGAAGAGACTGGACAATCACCTGTCTGAGATGGTATAGGATCTCCTGCTTGAGCAGGGGGCTGGACTAGAAGACCTCCAAGGTCCCTTCCAGCTCTGATTCTATTCTATTCTATTCTATTCTGTTCTGTTCTATTCTATTCTATTCTATTCTATTCTATTCTATTCTATTCTATTCCATTCCATTCCATTCCATTCCATTCCATGTTTCTATTCTATTCTATTCTATTCTATTCTATTCTATTCTATTCTATTCTATTCTATTCTATTCTATTCCATGTTTCTATTCTATTCTATTCTATTCTATTCTATTCTATTCAGATCTACTTGGTGACCACCAGATGCCAGTTGTTAGTTAGTGGATAAAGGCAGTGTGTACAGGTAGTCCTCAATGTACGACCCAAGTTCGAGCCCAAACTTTATGTTGCTAAGTGAGACATCTGTTAAGTGAATTTCGCCCCATTGTACGACTTTCCCTTGCCGCATTCGTTAAGTGAATCGCTGAAGTTGATCAATTAGTAACCCGGTTGTTAAGTGAATCTGGCTTCCCCATTGACTTTGCTCAGGGGAAAGGGATCACATGACACTGCAACCGTCATAAATGTGAGTCAGTTGTCAAACATCCGAACGTAAATCAGGTGACCCTGGGGACGCTGCAACGGTTGTTAAGTGTGGGGGAAAAAAAACGGCCCTGTCACTTTTTTTTTCACTGCCGTTGTAATTTTGAACCGTCACTAAGCGAACTGTTGCAAGTCGAGGACTACCTGTGTTGTACCAAAGAAGGAGCTAGCTAGACAGAAGCGCTAGGGAGAGCCTCGGCGATCTGATCGCCAGAGGGCGCCCCGTCCCCTGTTCGCCTCCCGCGAAGGAGGCTGCTGTACCGGCCACGGAGGGGCCACTCGCTGGGCAGCCGCCTCCCCCCCCCCACGCACCCACCTTGCGGGCTACAGGGACCAGACACGCGTGCAGCGCACGGCCCATACACACGCGCTCGCCCAGCGCAACGGCTCGTTCTGCCGCAGGAGGCTGCCGAGGTGGTGGTGGCGGAGACGCGGAGCCCAAGAGCGGGCGGGGGCTGCTTGCGAACCGCCCAGCGGCTGCTGGGGAAAGGACGGAGAGCTGGCCTCTGCCCTCCGCCGCCTTGGCCTGTGCCCCGGGGAACGTGGCGAGGGCGACGCCGCTCGGAAGGCGACTGAGCTGGGCAGGAGGAAGGCGGAGGCGACCTGTTCCCGGTCTGGGGCGGGAAAAAAGTCACCTTGGACCGACGGACACGTGTGCTGTAGCCAAAGGAGGAGAAGGCGTCTCCGGGGGATCCAGAGCCTTAATAGATCGCCCTGAGATACGCCCCCCCCATCCTTTCTCTCTCCCCCCCCTTTCCCACTTTCCCTTTGTGCGCGCGCGTGCGCGTGCTTCTGTGTTTTGTTTTGTTTTTCCCCTCCCGGCTTTGAACTTCGGAAGAAGTGGGTCACCCCGACTCTCATCCAGGAAATCTGGCGCGGTCGAGAAAGGGTCGCCCGCCTGGATTCTCCGAAGCGTTGGATCCGAATTTCGGAGAAAGAGAAGGAATCCTGTCCCGCCAAATCCCTGGAAGTATGTGAATTTAACGTTGCAATGAATGCACCTGGAAGTATGTGAATTTAACGCTGCAAATGAATGCACCTAAAACGTTCGTAATCTCTCTCTCTCCCTCCCTCCCTCCCTCCCTCCCTCTCTCTCTCTCTCAATGCATGGCGGATCGGCTCAGGCTGCAAACAACGGGGTTTTTTTTGTTGCATTCCCACAACCACCCTTATCTTCATCCATCATCATCATCACCACCACCATCACCATCATCTTGATGGAACAGCGTCGGCTATCCAAGAGAGATTTCTTTCTTTCTTTCTTTGCACCTGTTGCGCAGGGTCGGTTGGAGGGGCTTCCCAGCCACGGATGACCCAGGCGCACGAGCAGGGAATCTGACAGCCCTCTCCTCCGCCCCCCTCCGCGTGCACGTGTGAGCGCGGCAAAGGCGCGCGTGTGCATTCCAACGGGCGCTCGCTAGTAGCTTGGCTGGCGTGTGGGCGGAGCTGCGGGGGAGGCACCCAGAGAACGCGTGTCAGGCTTTGCAGAGGGCGGCGAAGGCGGGGAACCTCGCGGCTACCTGAGCGTGGGAGGAGGTGGTGGCGGCTTCGGGCCAGCGGTGAGCAAGGGCAGAAACCAACAATGCTGGTTTGTGCTCCCTAGAGCAAACCGCGTTCTAAGACCCCTTACTCTCCTCGTCTCCTTCCCACCCTCTTCCCCTTCAATCTGCAGCAGTCCTCGGAGCCTTGCTATAGGGGGGCTGTTTCTTGAATTATTGGGGGTGGGTGGTTTTTTTTTCTTTTTTTTTAGTTTCTAGCTATATTTTGGGTTATTGTTTTAGACTTGTGTAGTTTTGAGTGCAAAGTAGGCTGTCAGGGCTGTCAGGGCTTTGGAAATTGACACTCCGTTCGAATAAAGAATAAGTCAACAATAAGGACTCAGTAAATGAAGTATATAACTGAAAATGCTTTATAAATGGCCGGTGCTGATGATTTTTGTTTGTGTTAGAGTTCACATACAGGTAAGTCCTCGAATTGTGAGCACAACTGAGCTGAAAATTTATGTTGGTCAGTGAGACGGTTGTGAGTTTTGCCTCATTTTACAACCCTTTGCCTCGGTTGTTAAGTGAATCACTGCAGTTATTGAATTAGTAACACGGTTGTTAAGTGAATCTGGCTTCCTCCCCATTGACTTTTCTTGTCAGAATGTCACAAAAGTTAATCACACATGATCCCAGGACACTGCAACTGTAATAAATACAATCTAGCTGCCAAGTGTCTGAATTTTGATCACGTGATCGTTGGGGATGCTGCAACATAAGTGTGAGAAATGGTCATAACTCGCTTTTTTCAATGCCATTTTAACTTCAAATGGTCACTAAATGAACAGCTGTAAGTCAAGGACTACCTGTAGAAGTGTGACTCGCCCTCTCTCAGAGTGCGTACACTGAGTGTGACTTAGAGATTGTATATTCAGAGTATGACTTGAATGGTGAGCGTGCATTGTATGTTCAAATGCAAATGTGAGTGTGAAAGCTACAATGTATAGGAGTGTGTCTTGATTTGTGACTGGGAGATTGGAGTGTGACATGATTTATATGTGTAACTGGGAGATTGGAATGTGACATGACTTATATGTGTGAGAAAGTGTACATAAAGAGGAAAGGGTGAGCTGAATTTTGTGTGTAACGTATATGCAGATACAAAATGTGTGAGAGAGTGTAAATTCAATTGTGTTCAGATGTGTGAAGTGTACATACAAATATAAATGCCGCTTGAGATATATAGATATAGATATAGACAGTGGTTTTTTGTAAAAAAAAAAAAAAAAAAGGTGCCGAAACTCACACACGTCATACAACCCGCCTTGCCTACCCTACAAGGTTCCATCCAAAAGTGCCGGAACTCTGTTCTGGGCGTTCTATGACAAAAAAAGCCCTGGATATAGATATAGATATAGATATTGTTGTTGTTATTGTTAATTGCGAAGTCGTGTCTGACCCATCGCGACCCCATGAACAACGTTCCTCCAGGTCTTCCTGTCCTCTACCATCTTCTGGAGTCCATTTAAGCTGACGCCTACTGCTTCTGTGAACTCCATCCAGCCATCTCATTCTCTGTCGTCCCCTTCTTCTATTGCCCTCAATCTTTCCCAGCATTAGGCTCTTCTCCAGTGAGTCCTTCCTTCTCATTAGGTGGCCAAAGTATTTGAGTTTCAACTTCAGGATCTGGCCTTCTAAAGAGCAGTCAGGGTTGATCTCTTCTAGGACTGACCGGTTTGATATAGATAGATAGATACTTGTGGTCCAATATATATTGGACCATGAACCATTTCAACCTCAGTCCCTAGAGCTAATAATTGAAAGTGATAGAAATTGTGATTCAGGCTATACACTCACACACGTGAACGCACACACAGACACACACAGAGTTAGGAGTATGACTTCATACATGAGTGGGTGAGTATCTATACAAGTATTAATGTGACTTGTTTTATAAGTGAGAGAGATATATACAGATAGGAATGAAACTTGAGTTTTGTACCTCTGCCTCTCTGAGTGTGAATATCAAGAGAAATTCAGTGGTTTTCTTCATCCAACAACTCAAATGTTCATATAACTGGATAGAGGGAGAAAGGTTGCCATAAGTAATGAAAAGACCTACCACATCTTTAGTGTTCAGTAGCCCCCTGTTTTGCAAAGAGAACATTGCCAGATTTCCAGTGGGGCTGCAGATGTTCCCCATCTCATCCCCTGCAAGGCTGTTGACAGAGCGGTTAAATCCGCCTTGGCCAGTTGGATGCTTTCCAGATGTCTCACCTTCCAAACTCTGATGGTAGGAAATGATTAGAAGTTAGAGAAGAGATGGTCTTTCTGACGCACAAGGCAGTGGTGGATGAGAGTAGTAGTAGTAGTAGTAATAATAATAATAATAGTAATAGTAATAATAATAATAGTTGGAGATCATCTAGTCCAACATCCTGTTCAGGCAGGAAACCCTATACCATTTCAGACAAATGGTTGTCCAGTTTCTTCTTAAAAACTTCCAGTGTTGGAGCATTCACCGCTTCTGGAGGCAGGTTGTTCCACTGGTTAATTGTTCTAACTGTCAGGAAGTTTCTCCTTAGTTCTAGATTGCTTTTCTCCTTGATTAGTTTCCACCCGTTGCTTCTTGTCCTGCCTTTAGGCGCTTTGGAGAATAGCTTGACTCCCTCTTCTTTGGGGCAGCCCCTGAGATATTGGAACACTGCTATCATGTCCCCCCTCGTCCTTCTCTTCATTAGACTAGACCAGTGGTGGCCAACCTATGGCATGGGTGCCAGAGGCGGCACTCAGAGCCCTCTCTGTGGGCACGCGTGCCGTCACCCCAGTCCTAGGCCTTCAGCTGGGTTTTATAAAGTTTCTCCTTAATTCTAGATTGCTTCTCTCCTTGATTAGTTTCCATCCAATATGTGGATAAGCAAAAGATGTAGAAGAAAAGGGTGATTGGTGGTTCTCTAAAGGTGGACAACTTGGAGGTCACCAGATTGCATTGGACCACATATCATTCCAGGCCCTAGGGCAGGGGTCCCCAACCTCCAATCCGTGGACTGTTACCGGGCCGCGGCACGCCAGCAACTAGTCTGCACAAACAAGCAAAGCCTCATCTGTGGGATGCAGGCAGCACACAAAACCACGCACTCTCCGGTCTGTGAAAAAACCTTTCTTCATGGAACCGGTCCCTGGTGCCCAAAAGGTTGGGGACCTCAGCCCTAGGGCTAATAATTCAAGGTGATGGAAATTATGATTCAGGCTATAGAAGCTTGCATGATCTCAAATGAAGACTATACTGAATGAAACGTCTTAGGGCTTTTCTTTCTGTAACATTTCGCTGAAAAGAATGGATGGGATGAGCTTTAACAATATTCAGAATACACTCATGGAAGTGAAATCCTGTTGAATTCCATATTCAATTAACCAGACTAAGTCTGTTTCTGATATTTAAGGAAATGATTATGGTTTTGGAGTAGAGCACCTAGCCCAGGGGTAGGCCACCTTGGCTCTTTTATGACTCGTGGACTTCAACTCCCAGAATTCCTGAGCCAGCATGGCTCAGCTTGGAAACCTCTCCCTTTCCCCTCAGCGTGGCTGACTCAGGAATTCTGGGAGTTGAAGTCTACGAGTCATAAAAGAGCCAAGGTGGCTTACCCCTGACCTAGCCAGATGGAAAAAGGCTGGAGGCTCAAATCCTGGCTAAAGAATCAGAACAGCTGCTGTAAGGCTAGGTGTCAGATATGTGACTGGAAGAGCTTCCAAAATTCCTAAAGTGGAGAAATTACTTCTACTTATAGTTAGAGGAGAGATAGACAATCTATTCTACCCTCCTTTCTATATCTCACCATTGGCCATGCTTCCCAAAGATGATAGGAATTATTATACAGCAAGCTTGGACTGCCAAAAATTGCCTGCTTATGGATCACCTAATTTTGTGGTCCTTTTACATGGCACACTTACCAGCTACAGGGAGCTGTAGTAGTAATCCCAAACCAAATTAAGCAGATATCTCCCAGTTTTCCATATCACCAGAAGAAGTTAATGGAGATTTATTTATCACTTTGGCCTTGTTAATTGAATAAATAAATGGTCAAGCATGGGCAATCTGGAGTTCAGGCAACTCAGATGAACGTAGATGGGTTTAGTAGTTTAGTCCTTGACTTTTGATCACAACTGAGCTCAACATTTCTGTTGTTAAGCGAAGACATTTGTTAAATGAGTGCTTGCCTCCCCCCCCACAACCCCCTCACCAGCAGCTCCCCTGGAGGAGAGTCGCCCCCGAGCATGGCCCACGCGGAGCAGCGCAGCCAAGGACATGGCAGCCAGGTAGCATGGACAAGACTCTGCCCTCACGCCCCATTGCACAAGTTGATGCTGTGGGGCGCAGGCAGATGGAGTGGCTGCCATGGTGCTGCTGGGCTGCCTGGGCAATCTGCAGCGGGCGCTGGAGGTGGTGAGTGGCCCTGCGGGCAGGCAGGGTGGAGCGGGGCAGGGGGTG